TACTATACTCCACGTCTTTTTTCTCCAACGCAATCCCTAATTTATTTTCAACGGATAATTCAAATTTCTGGAATTGCTCCAAAATTTTCAATTTCAGGTCTCTTGCCATTTTACTTGAAACAATGAAGGAACTAGACCGTCAAAAAGTTGAGGACTGAAAGATTAGGGGACCCTAAACTTTCCAAACCAAGGCCAAATGAAAGGGTAAGGATAAAAAATTCAGACACCAGAAAGAAAACAAATAGGAGAGACAGGGAAACAAAAATCAACTACAGCCAAACGGGAAAGAAAACACAAACACAAAAGGCAAAACAAATACAGATGAAAAGCAAACCTAAAACCTCAATGGAAATCAGAACAGAAAACAACAAAACTACAAGGAACAAAGAAAACTAAACCTTACGAACCAGTACCACACACGCGGACTAGCACACTCTAGAAAAATGAAAAAAAAAAAAAAGAAACACTCAAAACTCAGAGACTCCTCTAATAGCAAATCTATTTCATGTCCTTTAACTTTGACAAGAATGAGTATATCGTACCATCATCACTTAAATATAAAGAGTTCCACATTATCCAAAAAAATCATGCTACAGTAATCTAATGGTTGATATAAAGTTTAGCAAGTACACACGTGGCAAGATTATGTGCACTTACACATCACATCAATTTTAAAATTAACAAATTATACCCATACACATTATTTATGTCATTCACTATATCACCAACTTATGTCAGCATAGATTATTTTCTAAAATATATGTATAAAAAAGGTCTTTTAATAAACACTCGAGCTCCTCTGTTCGGCTAGTGGTGTTAGACGGCAGGGGACCTGGTTCACTCGAGCTCGTCTAGTGGTGTTAGTCGGGTTTGGGTCAGGGATGGTGTGTTTTCTTCTCTGTTGGTGACAAATCGATTCGGGGATTGGTTTGGGGCTCGGAGTTGGCTACTGTATAGGCGTTTGTGTAGTTTCGGTAGTGGCATCTCGGGCTTGGAATCTTTCTTATGTCGATTGTCACTGCTGGTTGGATCTGTTCAAATGCTGAGGAATGGGTTTTTGTGTTGTTTTTAGTTTTTTAGTTGTTCTTGTTTAGTGTCGTCTGTGTCATTGTTTTTTTTTTTTTGTTTGTTATTGTGTTGCGTTGGCTTCAGTTCGCCCGAGTGTGAACTTATTATCCTGTTGGGATCGCACACTCGGACATTACCCTGTTGGGGTCGTCTTTGTGCTTTCTGTGTTTCTAGAGTATATCTCTGTTGGGGTCGGTTCTAGGTGGTCTTTGACTTGTACTCTCAGTTTTTTCAGCAGTTGGCTGATTGTATTCAGTCGTTGGCTGTTTAGCTAGCAGATGTATTTTTGCATTTTTTGTGCGCATTTATATACTATCTCTATCGTTTTGACAGAAAAAAAAGAACAAAAATAAAAATAGGCTTAATTGAGTTATTTGGGTTAATTGAGTAATAAAAATAGGGTTAATTGAGTTTTTTTGGGTTAATTGAGTTTTTTGTTCTTTTATTTTTTCTTCGAAAATGCTACTCATTTTTTGACCATCTTGTTTAGTAGCCCTTTCTCTTTGCGTCGCAGTTGGACCCGAAATAGGACAACCCGAGAGAACGGAGTCACCTCTGTGAGTCGCAGTGTGTTTTTTAGGATTTTGGGGTCACCAATCCGCCGGCCGCCGCCCTCAACCCTAATCCACATCTCCGCCACTTCCAATCCTGCTCGACAGGAAAAAAACCTTGAAGCTAATTGGATTCCACTCCGTTCTCAATCTTCGAATCTAATCTGATTGCATTCCCTAGCTCAAGGAAATGGCATGAAGGCGTCGGGATCCATCGCCGTAAGCTCATTCCTTAATTTTCAGCTTTCGATTTTGTTCGACAATAATGCGATTTGGGGCTCGGAGAGTGGCCAGTCACAAGATTTTCTCCACAGCCTTGTTCCACGGTCACGCTGGCATAGAATCTCCCTACTACTCTTCTCCTGCATCCACTCTCTGGTTCGTTAAAGTCGTTTGCACTATCCTCATTCGCCACACTCCTTCGCTGGCCGTTTTCAATACGGATTATTTTCGCGATAATTTGAACCCATTTGTAGCTTTCAGCGTGGTGTATCACATAACTAGTAGATTGAACAACCCGGATTTAGCTTTTAATTTCTTTCGATACTCGAGGCTCAGTTTGAACCTCGTCCATTCACAATCCACGTTTGATTTGCTCTTGAGGTCGCTCTGTAAAATGGGCCTTCACGATTCCGCTCAAGTGGTGTACGGATACATGAAAGCCGACGGGCTATCCCTCGGTAGCTCAGTTGTGGAATTTATGATCTCTTCCTTTGCCAATGCCAGAAAGTTTCAAGCTGCAGAGGAAATTTTGGTGGCCAGAGCTGAATTCTGCAATGGCAGAGGGGAAAGAGTTAGTCCTTTTGTATATAATAATTTATTGACCTTGCTGATGAATAAGAATTTGGTAGATGAAGCCGTCACATTTTTCAGGAATCACGTGTTGAGGCTACGGAGCTTGTTTCCTGAAACTTGTACCTTTAACATCGTGATTCGAGGGTTGTGCCGTGCTGGTAATGTTGACCGGGCTTTTGAAGTTTTTCATGCCATGAGAAGTTTTGCTTGTCATCCGGATCATTTTACATACAACACTCTAGTTAACGGTTTATGTCGGGTTGGTAAAGTCGATAGAGCAGAGACATTTGTAAGAGAAGTTAAAGCCCAGTCCGGGTTTTCACCTGATGTTGTGACTTACACATCCATCATCTCTGGATACTGCAAGTCTGGTAAGATGGAAGACGCTTCAGCTCTTCTTGATGACATGATTGATAACGATATCAGACCAAACCTGTTCACCTTCAATGCTATCATAGATGGTTATGGTAAGAAGGGTGAAGTGGCTTTGGCAGCTAAAACGTATGAAAGGATGGTAGGCAACGGCGTGGATCCTGATGTTGTCACCTTCACTTCTCTCATTGATGGTTACTGCCGCTGTGGGGAGTTGGAAAAGGGTAGGAATCTCTTTGAGGAAATGAACAATAGAAAGGTTCCTCCTAATGTATTTACATTCTCCATTCTAATTAGTGCTCTGTGCAGAGAGAACAGATTAAATGAGGCCCGTGATTTGCTGAGGCAGTTGAAATGGAGGGAGGACATTGTACCCCCACCGTTTGTTTACAATCCCATTGTTGATGGGTTTTGTAAAGGGGGCAATGTGGATGAGGCGAATGCAATTGTTTCTGAAATGGAGGCGAAAGGGTGCACCCATGATAAGATGACTTTCACCATTCTTATTTTGGGGCATTGTATGAAAGGCAGAATGTCGGAGGCTATAGTAGTTTATAACAAGATGCTGTCGGTAGGTTGCGCACCGGATAATATCACCATTAATTCTTTGGTATCTTGCCTTAGGAAGGCGGGCATGGCGCCTGAGGCAAATGAAATAGAGCACAAGGCATTGAATTGCTTGCACTCGCGGTCTTCATCGGCAGAAAGAACGAATTCTGTTAGGAACAATATGAATGTGACAGTGGCTGTTTACTCGTGAAATTTTCATCTTGCATTGAGCTTGGTTTGTGAGGCCCTTCACTGTGAATAATTCGAATGAGGAAATCTTCGAGTTGGTGAACCAACTATAGGTAATTACTTTTACAAAATTTCTTAAATTGCAATCTTCTTGTTTATTTATTTTTTTTTTTTTCAATGTCTTTTGTATGAAGTGCTGTGATTGCGTAAAGGTGACTATTGGTGCGTTATCATTCTTGTTTCTTCGTGATTCGATATTATGTAGGTTTGTCTGCATTAAGTGAGATAATTAAGTGACACAAGTTAAATGGAAAAAAGGAATTAACTTGTGACAGTTATTTCCTCTGGGGGTATCTGAGGACATTGTGAATAACGAAACAAACTTTTGGGTGTTAGAGGGATTCGGAGGATAAGCCGGCACGTGATTGAAATTTGGTGACACAACATGGCTACAAAAGGAAACGCTGGTGCACCGTCAGGGCTCAAATCTTCTTCTTAGTGTGCTTTTGTTGGATTTTCCTTAGATTCTATAACTAGGATTAGACCAGCCTTATCCACTTTTGAAGTGGGGCACATAGGAAATAGTCCTAACTCTACAAGTAGTTTAATTTACTTTTATTATGCTTCTTTGTGACCAGCATTAATCATTTTCTGATGCTTGAACTTTTAGTTATCGAACACATGCATGATAAGAGTTGGAGTGCGCATGGTTTTCATTCTTGCTGTTTGTCGTAGTTGTCTTTTCTTTATTTATTCTTTATTTTTATTTCCCTGCTATTCTTCTGGTACTTTATTTTTCTCAATCTCCCTGCAGTTGATGCAATATATGGGATTAATCTTGTCACCTTGGTTTTACTGTTTGATTTGATGGCTTCTTCATTGTACTAAATTCGATCAAAGTCCTGTACTGGAAGTTTCTCTTCTCTGCCTCTGTTTGACATGGCCCTGAGTGGATGTTTCTTGTTAATTGTATCTTGTTTTCTTTTCGTACATTCACTAGTTAAATTACTGAACTATGCTTATGATATTTTTGTTTTCTATTATCAGGTTTCATATCTGCTCTCCTTGTGTTTGGAAGGTGCACGATGAGAGGGTTATGTCTGTTACTTTTGAATAAATTCTTAAGAGTTCTGGTGAGTGTGTTTTTCTTTCTTGTTCAAGTCTTTCATGTTAAATATTGTTTCTTTGAAACATATGAACAGATTATCTTGTTTTGTCATATTCAACATGTGCCGACTAGGACCCTCGAACTATCAGTAGCTATTTGATGTCTTGTTATATAATTTCATTCACTTTGAATTCATTCCTATTGAAAAACAGAAAAAACTTATTCCGGGACAAAAATCTAATCTTCGACTTTGAACTTTGAACTTTCATGTAGGGACAGTAAAAATTTTATGTTGGGCAAGACTTTTGGCTTTTGAAACAATACAAATCTTCTTAAACGTTGTCGATTTATATTATCTCCTTCCTTGTATATGAACTCCATGCAAATTGCCACGCTTTCTACCAATACTTGTTTCACGCTTACCTTTCATGTTTAATTTTTTGTAGCGTCATTAGAGTCCTCCATCTCACATTGTAAGTTCTATTTATGTAAATTTCTTTTGGTTTTCTTTGCTGCAGGCGCGAATACGATTTTCCCATTTTGATAACCAACGTTGCACCCTACACTAGTTTGCCAATTTTGTCTCGACATTTCTATCAATCCAAGGTGGTTGGGTGATTGTCATGGGGCTTGTTTTCTATTGACAAAAAGAAGAAAGAAAGAAAGACGAACCAAGTCTGTAATTACCTAGAAGAAGACAGCTATTCATGTTCTGTAGTAGTTCTTGGTCTTGTTTGACAATCAGCGGTTAGCTGTTAGCTGTTAGCGGATTGCATTAGCTGTTTTGACTAGCTGATGGTGTTAGCTGTTTTGACCAGCTGAGTGCTTGGTAAATTAACTATTTTTAATCAGCTGTTAACATGTAAAATTACTTATATGGACATCTATTCTTTTATATTCTTGTTTATTTAAAATTATAATTATATAGAAAATAATTAATACTTATATTTAAAATATTTGTAAAACGACTTAAAATAACATAACACAAATAAAAAATAACAATATATAACTGTGAAGTGAAAAAAGTGATGAAGATTCTAATTTAACATGATAATAAATATTCAAATAAAAAAATAAAATAAAAAACATATAATATAAAAAATCGCATATCAATTATCAACATTTAATCTTACTCTTCCTCTATAAATTTGCACATAATTTATCACTTAATCTTTCTTTTTTATTTTTATTTTTACAGAACACCTAATTCACTTAATTTCAAATGTGAATGGACTATTTAAAGAAATTTTAGTTCATTTATAATCTCAATTTTATTTTTAACCCAATGTAATAATGTAATAAAATATAAATCTATTTTCTAAGCTAACTTTGATTTAACCCAAATATGCTAGTGTGTTAAAATAATATGAGGTAGAGTTAATGTAGTAGAATTAATTAATGGCAAATATGTCTTTTTATATTTTTCTCCTCAAAAAGCTATTTGAAAAAGATTCAATTAATAACAGCTTTTAGATCAAAAAAGCTATTTCAAAAAGCTATTAACCAAACATTTTAAAATTAAAGGTTTCAAGAGTCAAACAACTATTTTGCTGAAAAAGCTAATTTGTGGCTGAAACGCCATTTAACAAACATGGCCCTTCTCTCTGTTTGTGTTTGTTGGGTTGATGTGTAGAATGTGAGATGTGTTTAGAAGTTGGGTATATTTGGTAAGTTGATAGTTGCCACTTGCCAAATTAATGAGCTAGCTCATAAGTTAACTTCAAGGTGACATAGCAGGGTTAATATTATTTTTCAACAACATTTAGAGTTAATATTATTTTTTTTACAAAATACCGCTGTCTTTGCTCCAGGGTTTACATGCTACGGCGTTGCAACACATAAGGGACGAGCGAATTGTAAATTTGGTCCGTAGGTTTGAGCTTATAGTAAAATTGGTCTCATACATTGCACAGTCAGGTATTTTTCTAAAATTTTTGTTGAAGAAATGGTCACAGCCCCGTCAAAAGTAACTGGATGGTTTTGTGTGTCGTTAGTCGTTAGGTTGAAAAGGAGAACATTGCAAATTTTGTCTCATTGATTGACCGTATAACAAATTTTGTTCCAAACATTGCAAAAATAGTTATTTACTATTTTTTGTTGCAATTTTCATGTCGTAAATATACAACAATCTTTGATATCTCCAAATTTTGTTCCTGCACCATCTTTCCATACGACTCTTACCATACGACTCTTAGGTCCTTCAGATCTCCAAAATGGCCTCTCCACCTATCTGCCATAAGTTACAACTAGGTCGTAGCCATGACATCCACCTCACGACATCCAGATCATGAGGTCACATTATGTATCCGAGCTATCGTGGTTTTCCCACCACCGAGCTCCTTGTCTAAGTCAACCCGTATCTTGAGCCTAGAGGTGGCCTCAGGCAGTTGGGTCTGTCGACCCAGCCTGGACTCAGCTTCGACCCAGCCCGGACTCAGCCCAGACCCAACTCGGTGTTGTAGGTTGTTATTTTACTGAGTACCGAATCTAAAGATTCGGTCCCCGGGTCGATCTCACGAGGAAGGCTGTTCAGAATTTAGCTTTGATATTGATAACACATAAAAGAAAATAAAACCTAAACACTCTAATCAAATAGGGGTTGAGCAATTACCAACTAAGAAATAATAAAAAGCGATAATCTATTTAAGAATATAAATGAAACAAAGATGAAGAAGCTAGGGAATGGGGGATAATTAATTCAAGATCTTTAGCAAAATCGGGACACTGATCGGTCGATTCTAGATTGACAGTCTCGCTTAATCATCTAGAGGTTTGCTCCCAATAACTCTTCATAACAAGGGATGAACATAGACGAACAAACTCAAGTATACAACACAAGTCAATTATCCCTATCCCAATAACTTTTTGTAACAAGGGACGGGTCATCAACAAGCACGTATTACAATCCAAAACATATAGACTATTCAGTTACGAAATCATCTACCTCACGCGAGCCTAGGTTCTACGACTTTTGCCCTTTCGGTTCTAAAAGTCGCTAATTGAATTAGAAGGTGTTTAATCAACTAATCACATAAAATCAACAGAACCCTAACTCGACTAATCAACATTCAATCGTTTCAAATTGGAAGATCGAAGTGTCACTCTTCGATTATATCAATTAATCAAGCAAGAATACATCAATCCCTAATCAAATCAACTCACATAAGAACGAACAATTCAAGCCCGAGAGATACGAATTAAACCAGAATAATCATCTCCTATCCCGAGCAATCAGAATTAGCTACGTATAACGAATTTAACATACATAATCATTACTCTCAAATTAACCATTATTCATGAATTAATAAAGAGAGAAGAAACTTACAATAAATCCAAATTTCAGTTGCTGAATACAAAATACAAGCTTAATTCCTAAATACTAAGAAGAAGACGAAGAAAAATGGAAGAGAATGATGAAAAGAAGAAGAGAAATGAAGAAGAAAAAGAGAGGAAGAGAAAAGGAGTTTCGTGTATTTAACGGGCTAGGGCTCATCTCCCAGAAGGGGAGAGAATAATCTTTCTGTGAAGTCCCGATTGCTTATTTATATGTGGCAGGGCTCTCGGCATGAAATTTTGTGAGTGACGCGCGGCGCGGGCCATCGCAGCGTGGAAGGAGTGGGCGCCGCAGTGCGGGCTGTGACGCGGCGTGGGGAGATCTTCTGGCACGGCGTGAAGCTATGGCGCAGGCGCGGAGGGCAGGTCTGGCGCGGCGTGATAGTGGGGCGCGGCGTGGAGAAATGATGCAGCACGCCGCGGTGCAACGCGCGCATGACCTGAACCTCTGTCGAGCTCGTGGCACCCGACGCGCCGCGGCGCGCGTGCGGGGCCTGGGCAGGCTGGTACTACTTTACGTTTTGGAGTCGTTCGAGCTCGTCTGGTATTAGAATTCGATTCTGCTTTTTTTTGCTTGTAGC